TAACTAACTAACTAACTAACTAACTAACTAACTAACTAATTAACTAACTAACTAACTAACTAACTAACTAACTAACTAACTAACTAACTAACTAACTAACTAACTAACTAACTAACTAACTAACTAACTATATATATATACACAGACATATAGGGGCCTTAATAATTAGAACAGGGTTTGGGGTATATTATATTATAACTAAAAATAAGGGAACCCCCCAAACCCTATTCTATTTATTAAGGCCCTTACTTTAGATGGTCAGAAACGAAGTCATTAGAGTCCAGAGTCTGAACGCACCTAAATCGTTCAGAACCATTGGTTTGGCTTCCAACGTCATGGCCATATTTGTTTGCATATGGGGCTTTCCGAAAATCTGGGTACCTTATTTTGGGGTCCTTATAATATTATTTCGGGTACTATATTAGGGTCCCCTATTTTCGGAAACCCCCATATTCCTTCTAACATGACTACTAGTACAGCTATTAGCCTGAAGGCTACCATGATCACTATAGGGGCCTTAATAATTACCTACATTATTTTGGGGGTTCCTTCTTATAATTGTAGCAGAATGGGCCCCAAAACCCTATTCTAATTCTTAAGGCCCCTACACTCCTAGCCGCTAGCCCTAAACCCCAAACCCTATAGTAGCCCTTACAGTAACCCTTTAAAGGAACCCTATTCTAATTCTTAAGGCCCCTAAACCCTAAACCCTAAACCCTAAACCCTAAACCCTAAACCCTAAACCCTAAACCCTAAACCGTAAAACCCTACATGATGTAATCCAGATTGAACTCTCAGGCTTCGGGAGACGTTCCTGGCGCTCACAGACGTACCAGACCTGTCGAAGGCTCTGCCGAATCCCGGCGCGCCGGAAGGCCAGCTCTGGCCATGGGTGGGGGGGGCGGGGGGCCTTAAATATGGGAAAAGGGTTTAGGGCTGAACCCTAAACCCTAAACCCTAAACCCTAAACCCTAAACCCTAAACCCTAAACCCTTAAAGCCTAAACCCTAGATGGGGTTGAGGGTTTAGGGCTTTTATGGGGAAGAGGCCTTTGGGCTTAGTTCTAGTATAGACACGCTGCAGGTATAAAGGGCTGAAATGGGGATGGCACTGCTAAGTATTCGCGCCTCTACATTTCTGCTGTAAGTCATGCAATCTTCCTTCTTGCTTGATGTTCGTGCTTCTCTGCTCCCTTACTTTTCAGTCTCTCACTAGGTGTTCTCTCGATCTCTCTTATTGTTTCTCTTTTTCTTTCTCTCTTTCCCTCTTCTCTTTCTCTCTTCCTGCTCTTCTTTGTTCTGTTTATTTTTGCCCGTTCTCTGTCGGACCCCACGAATCTTTCAGCGATTTTGTGCACGTGGCTTTGCAAGGTGAAGGCTGGGGCATGGGTGGGTTTGTGGTTGGGTTGTCGTGTGTTGAGTCAGTTCCGAAGGTGTGGGTTGTTCTTGTAAGTGCTAGAAATGGGTAAGCGCTTCGGATCCTGTCTGGTTAGTCAGTTCGGGTCTGCTGCGCTGGAAGGCTGTGTCATGGTACGCTTCAGAGGCACAAAGGGACTGCCTCTCGACGATGGCTTCATGATATTTTTCTTTTTCCACGAACTCCTGAAGCATAGCGTCCTGCTCCCGGTGCTCGCAGTACTTCGGGTATCAGCGACGGGCCAGATGTCCAAGATGGCACCAAGCCCCAAGACACGGAAAGCTTTGCTTGACGGCTTCGCATGGCTAAGCCTCGGCGTCCTGTATTATCTAGGTCTGGCTGCGTATTCGGCACCGGATTCTAGAAACATCTCAGACAGCAGACTATGCCCACAGGCTTCGCTACCCTAGCCTCATGAATGAAAGAAATGGGAGTTTGGCGGGCGTAGAACGGCGTAGAATGGACCAAGAGTCACTGGGACTCCTTGTTTCCAGAGCTCATGAAGTCCCTGCCGGCATGACAAACGACTTTGAGGCTTGGGTTTCAGGGTTCAGGGCCTCTGAGATGTGGGACGGGGATTGTTCTCTGTTTCGTCGTGCACAGCCTGAAATTTCAAGTGGAAGATCCTGAGGTCCGGAGTGACGAACGACATGCACTCGATCAGCCCATGCAGCGGCTGCGTGGGCGAAGGCATTCGTGCACAGGTTGCTTGGCTCTGAAGCTCCGGGTGGCAAGTCATCGCGGATTCGAGGCCCGGAACCTCAAAGCCACAACCCTCAACTCCCAAAGGCCCTGAACCCTGAACCTCGTTCAGGGCTTGGCTGGGATTCCGGTTCTGGCTCCGTTTAGGGCTTTAGGATGAGGGCGGCAGGCTGTTCGACATTTGATGATGAGCGAGTCGAAGGCTGCTTAGGCTTCGCGCGGCGCCGTAGAGGGCAGTCGGGGTCGGGCAGGCGTGGATCTGCCGGGTTTGCCAGGATTCGGAGCCCTAAAACGCAAAAATGACACCACCACTCAGCAAACTCCGCAAACCCTAAACCCTAGACCTTGAACCCTAAACCCTAAACCCGAAACCCTGAAACCCCAATCCCCCCCAAATTTTGGGAACCCCATTTATAGCGGGCCGAGGTCGGACTGATGCTAGACGACATGGTCCAGGCTGCTCCGCGACATCTGCTTCTTGCCACTGGTACTTGTAGAGCCTCAGGCACTTCTTTTCTGACCTAATGAGGCTGTCGTTGAACCCTAAACCCTAAACC